GTTTGAAAGTACTTTGTGTGAAATAGACTTGAACATTGTTTCAAAGGAATAATTATCATTTCCTGACTTGCTGCCTTCGATAGAAGCTGAACGCGTGGGAGGAGAAAGAGAAAACCAGAGGATTCGTTTTACTACGAGCCTCCGCCATTTTCCTCTGTGATGATGCCGTAGTTGTTGCCTGGAAATCTCCAATTAACATCAATAAAACTTTCTTTTTTAAAGCAGGATTATAAAGGTTTCTGCTCAAACGTCAAATTAGGTGCAGAATATTTTTTATTCTGACGGTTTTCTGCCACAAGAACAATTAACTGCTAGAACAACAGTTAGCCTCGGTAGCCTCTCAGTGGTTGCTCTAAATCCTGAGCTTCATATTGGGTCAATAATGGCACAGCATCTAGGAATTCATCCTGCAACCAGAGGGTTGCTGGTTTGAATCCGTGCTCTCCCTGTTTCATTTGTTCAAAGGACACTTGCCACCTGATGGTGGTCAGCGGGCAGCATTGCTGCTGTCAGTGATTCCCAGGACCACCATGGGTTTGCTAACTTGGGCATGAATGACTGGACGTGCTGGAAAGGGCTTTGGGGTCCTGTGCGTTGAAAGGGTGCTACATCAGTACAGGCCAAACACAGATAAAGCAGCGGGTAGAAGTATTCAAACCCATCTGAGAGGGAAATGTTTTGCTGTTATCCAACTCCTTACATCTAGATGCTGAACCACCCATTCCTGATGTCATCAACCATTAAATGACCGTTATTAGCGGATACCAGCACCAGTTCAGCCGCACCACATATTGTTGTGATTTTCTGTCAATTATAACTGAGCAAAGGACAACCGGGAGTATGACAGTTGTTGAAGCAGTGCTGTTTTTTCACATTTAGTGTTTCCGTAGTTAGACTTAGACTTAGTGTGTGATCGGCTGTAAGTCTTTCCACATCCTCCTGGTGTTGCTGGCATCATGGAAGAGATCCTGAATCTTCCAGCTGGTGTTCTGCTTCGCCAATCTGGTGGCATGGTTCAAGTTGGCTCTCGCTGTCCTCAGAGCCTCTCTGCCACCAGGGCTGAATGCTGAGTTCTTTCCTTTTAGCGATTTCTGAACCTCCGTATTCATCCAGGGTCGCTCTTTTTGATGCTGACGTCCTTAATGCATTTGTTAATGTAGGCTGACACAGTCATACTCATCTATTTTCATCTTGTTGTCATATGTTGCTGCAGCCTTGAATATGTTCCAGTAAGAACATTCAAAACAGTCCTGGAGTTTCTCCATGGCGCCCTCAGACCACACTCTGACCTCTTTAACTGTCGGTTTAGCCCTGATCAGTTTGGGCTTATATTCAGGGATAAGCACGACAGATAAGTGATCTGATGACCCGAGGTGGGGGGCTGCTCTGAATGCATCTTTGATGTTAGAGTCAACCAGGTCTAAAGTGTTTTCACCCTGAGTTGCAAAGTCCACATGTTGGTAAAAATTATGGAGAACATTCTTGATGTCAGCCTGGTTAAAATCCCCAGCAATGATGAAAACAGCCTCTGTGTGCAGATTGGA